TTCTGCTCCTACTTTTTAGCGTTTGTGGGTGCTGTTGGCTGTCACTGTTGCTCAGTGTTTAGGGGTTTTCCTGGAGTCTCTAAGGTGTGCTTCTTTGTCACGTGCAGCTATTGAATTCTCTGCTTGGACGTTCCCTTTAATGTTTATCCAGTAAGTCTCCCACTTGGTGCCAAGGGGCTTTATGTAGGCGGGAGCGACACTCGGTGCTCTGCCATCACGGCCCTGCTGCGCCTTCACCGCCCGCTGGGGCAGAAATGAAAGACCGAGACTCTCAGGCTTTCCCCGAACATGCGCACACCCCTTCACAGGCACGTGCCTTCGCACGGCGTCGGAGCTTTGCAGAGCCCCTTTAGGCATCTCATCACCTCGATTTTTGTTTAAGTGTTTGTGTCAGCTTCTTGTTTGTTCCAACAGGTATCACCCCTTCAGGCAGCTGTGAGGTTACACAATTGACACTGAATGTTTCAGGCAAGCATGCTAGACCAGGGGTGGGCAACCCCTGGCACGCGTGCCAAACATGGCACGCCAGTAACTTTTGCTGGCACGCGAAACCCTCTCTTATAATCCTCCATTTACAATTTTTTTCTTAATATCGACTTTTTTATTTTTCAGATAAATTCAGTGTAGGTGCATCTTAGATAGATAAATAATTTTACATAACAAGTTATCTTAAAGACCATAGACATGGATTGATGAGAGAGGGGAAGAGCAATTTCTATGCCTCTGCCTTAACTCTCCCTGCCTTCCTAGGTCCGACCAGTGTTTTGGTTTCATCCACATACGCTTGTGAATCTTTGTTCTCAGCGATGAATTCTGTTAAGTCTTGTAATAGGAGTAGCCTAACGGATGAAAGTAGTAGCTCGTGCATATCTCTGAAGGTCACAAAATATAAACCTGATGTAAAATCTCTGTCATCAGTGATGCAGCAGCAAAAGTCTCACTGATAATATCAAACGGAGTCATAAAGTTTTCTGTCAGACTATCAGTGTACCTGTATACATTAAAAAATAATGTATTTTTCATCATCATACACTCTGTTTTTGTTGCTCGAATGAATTTTATTATTTCTTCAAGGTTCTTCACATACGTACACCTTAAGAGATATTAAGTAGGCGTAACATGTTCTCAAAAAATTAGGGTTGGCACGCAGAAGAATTTTGAGTCGGAGATTTTGCTGGTTTGGGCGCGCACTCACAAAAAGGTTGCCCACCCCTGCTCTAGACACAGGGCTTTCCCGATGAGCATGCTCTGCAGCAGGTCAAAGAAAGGCAAGTCCTGTGCACAAGCTTTCCCAGGGAGTTTACAGACATGTTAGATAGGGACAATCTTCTGAAAATGAGCATCTGGGGACCTTCAACCCTGCCTGTCTCCTTTGATGGCTGCTACTTTCCATAGGTACTGTAGTTGTCAGGCTTATGTTTTTGTTTTAATTTTTATTTATTTATTGATGAGAGAGGGGGGGAGAGGAGGGGAGGGAGACAGAGACAGAGCGAGAGTGAGAGCATGAACGTGCGCGCGCGAGAGAAACATCGATTTGTTGTCCACCCACTTGTGCATTCAGTGGTTGATCCTTGTGTATGCTCTGATTGGGGATCAAACCCGCAAACTTGGTGTGCTGGGGCAAAGCTCTACCAGCTGAGCTACCTGGCCAGGAAGGCTGATGTTTTTTTAAGGGTATGGAACTGAGCAGATGGGCAAGTAAAATGTTACAAACACTGCTGTTCTTAGCAAGATTTATAATTTTTTCCTTGAATAAAGGGGTTGTTGCAAGTTTTCCATTAATTTCCATAGTTGCAGAAAGGTCCATTTTTCCTAGTTTTCTTGCTGCTTTTATAAAGGAGCAGATTTTCAGAGGTGCTTAACCCACCATTTTAGAAGTTTTCCCACTGGATTTTTAGAAAGGGTTTCTTGGGTTTAGGGTGGATAAAAAACCCTAGCGCTGAGCCTGCTGATCTAAGGCTGGGAGCTGTGAGAGTCTGTGAGTGCCTCCATTTGTCTCCACTGATTTAGCACAGCATCAGCCAAGCAGCATTTGATTGCTTCCTCCTTGTTTCTTCCCGCATCCTCAGCCTTCATCCTTCATTGGCCCACCAGTCCTTCTTTCCCTCTCCCTCCTCTCTGCACTCCCCATTCCTGTCAGCAAGCTTTTATTAACCATCTCCCGAGGGCCTGTGGGTCCAGCCCCAGCTCCTGCCCAGAGGAGCCTCTGTTCTGGTGGAGGGGAAAGACACGTTTCCAGAGGAGACAACCACAACCAGGTTGTGCTGGGACAGAGGGAGGTGTCTGAGGCTGGCGGAGTCAGGGGAGCCAGGGGAAGCTGAGGGAGCAATGGAGGTTCTTGGGGTCAGGGGGGCATTTAGAAGGAGAAAGTATCTTGCTCAATAGCCCTGGAAAGATGACCCCAGAGGGCAAGAGCAGTGCTGGGCTTTCCCAGCTGTGAATGGGCCAGTGGGGAGATGAGCATTCATTCCATTGGGACAGGTGCACAAGCACTGCAGGGCCATGGAGGCATTTTCCAGGCAAAGGCCCCTCTGCAGCTAGAGAGCACCCATCCCACGGGCGAGCAGGCACAGCTGTCTGCAGGTCTGCAGCAGCGGCAGGAAGGCATCTCGGCAGACACCAGGCAGGCTCCCGGGACACAGGAAAAGGTCTGGTTTTACAGGGGAAGGTGCCAAAGCCAGGATGTGCATGTGTGTGAAACTGGAAATAAACACCAGGCACAGCCAAAGCTAATCAGAGGGGAACATCTGCTTGGGGCTGTTCACACCATTCTCGACAGGCAGGGGATCAGGACACCGCCTGGGAAAGCGCGGCCAGGGGGTGAGGTGCTGCACACCCCTTGCCCAACGGTGTCCTTAGACAAGATACTTCTTCCTTTGAAGCCTCAGTTTCCTTATCTGCAAAACGGGGTGAATAACAGATGCTTATCTTGTAGGGTCTGTGAGGATGACAAGACTTGGGGAACTTGAAAGGACTCAGCGCACAGTATCAGGGGCCCAGTAAGTCCTTATCTCTCTGTGGCTTTTCGATTGCTGTAAACTGGAGTCATAATTCTAACGGGTTTTTGAGTAAGTTGAGTAATATTATACATTTCCCTGGAAAAAGTCACTTTGTATTCCTTACCTCCTTCCAGAATGGACGTCAGGAGCTTACAATAAAAGGCAATAAAACATTTTATGAGGACGGAAACAAGAACTGAGTGCTGAAATGCGTATCTGCAGGCCTGTGGTGTGTGTGTGTGTGTGTGTGTGTGTGTGTGTGTGTGTGTGTTTACACACAAAACCTAGAGTAAAGGAAGCCATGGCAATCAAACATGAAACAGCCTTCAGCTTCTGGAAGTCAAACACACAGAGAACCATGACGGCATTTCCTACCAGGGCCCTCTAGCGACTTTATCTGAGGGCTGCTATAGAAGGAACTAGATAATGCAAGCATGCAGCACAGCGGGGAGGAGGCCCACGTCCAGCGCCAGGGAGGAGTCGGAGGCTCAGAGGGAGCCTGGTCAGCTCCCCGGCCCAATCGCTGGGGTTCCCCTTGGTGGTGATCCCCTCTGGCATCACACCATGCCCTCCTGGAGCAGCTGCTGAGGGGCTGAGCATGCGCTCATGCATGCACGCATTCACTCCTTCACTCACTGTTTGCGCATTTACATTCCCAGGGCCTACTCTGTGCTGAAAAGTGAAGACTTTGGAGATGTGCTTGCACTAGACTTAAAGAATACTGAACTTGGGGTTTGAGTTCAGGAAGAGGAGATGGCATCCCGGGGAGGGGAGGCCAGGAGTGCAGGGTCAGAGTGGGAGGGCCTCAGACACCCCTGGTGAGGCTGGAGGTGGGGACACGGGGTAGGGGTGATGAGAGCTGCAGGAGCTGTGGGTGAGGACCAAGAAGGGGGCTCTGAGATGTACTGTGAGAAGACTGACCAGGATTTGGTGTGGGAGAGGGGAGGGAGGAGTCCCGGATGATGCCCAGGTGTCTGCATAGGGAAGCGGAGGTTGGAGGTTTCTCCCTGCGTTGGGGAGCTGGGGAGAGCAGGCTAGCGGAGGAGCTGCTTCAGTGGGGCCAGGTCCAAACTCCAGAGGAGACAGCGTAGCTGGAGACACGAAGGGGGTCATTGTCAGTGTCATGGGGGTGCCGTTGCGTAGGAGTGGGAGAGAAGAGAGAAGAGGGCCAAGAGCACATTTATTTAAGGCAAATGGGGTATATAGAAAAGGCCAAAAAGAAGGGGGTCAGAGATGTGGGAGGAGACACAGGCCAGAGCTGAGCTGGGAATACAGGGTGGGGACGTGGGGGTGGCCAACAGAGAGGATCAAGGAAGATAATGACGGCAAAGCATCTGCAGGCATGACCATCAGATGACGTCAGCAGAGTGACAGTGAAAAGAGACCGGAGGGGCTGGGATGAGTGCAAGGCAAGGCGGAAGAGCCAGGACAGGGTTGGTGTGTGGGTGCCTCTGAGGAAGCTTCTCTGTGTGTCTTGGGTAGGGGATGTGCAGAGCAAGTGTGTTTGGGTGAAATGAAGATGGCAGGAGGGGAGGTACGCACGGACAGGCGAGTCTGCAGGTCGAATGGAGGAAGGAGGAGTATCTTCCTGGTGCCTCTGCCAAGGGAAGGGCAGGCCAAGTCCGGGGAGGGACAGGGGCACCAGGAGAACCAGGGACAGTGGGCTGGTGGGATCACTCTCAGCTCCCTCAAGGCCAGGAGGTTGTTTCAGAGTGAGACTGGGGACTGACATTTCTGAGGTTGACACTAAGATTCAGAGGGTGCCAAGGACATGGGTGGGACAGTCACGGGACCTGTGATGCCAAGAAGCCAGGGAAAGGGATACTGGGCACTGTGGCCCCCAGGGGCAGTGGCTGGAATTGGAAGGGAGGAGACGAGCTGGCCCAGGACCCAGGGTCCTGAGTAATGAGGTGCCATGGGGACTGGTGCATCCAGCTCAGTCCCTGGCCAAGGGCAGACTTCTAGGCCTGAGCTTAGGAACTAGGAGAACCTGGGACTCACCGGGATCACCTCTTCTTCCAGGCTTGCCACGCCGTCCAGGGGGCCCTAGACAGGAAAACAAGGATAGACTCGTTGAAAAGGGAAGCCGTGGGTTTGGGCACAGCCCGCCTGCTGCTGGCCACCCACCCACCCTGCAGCTGCATCACAGAGAGGAGAGGTGTGGGGAGAAACCCATCCCTCACCCCTGCTCCTCCCAGCCTTCCCCTGCTGGTTGCGTACTCACCCCTCACTCTCTCGTTCAGTTACTAATCATCTGCTCATTTATCCACTCACAATTCCTCCGAAATAAAAAAAGATTATCTGGAAACTCTTGAGGTAGAAGAGTTTGCAACTGAGAAACTTCCAAATGAGGAGAAATATAAGGCCGAGGGTAAGAGTTATCTTATGAAAGCCCTGACCAATGCTTTTTAATCTCCACGGCGATACAACAACAGGGACAGCACACCACATAAAGACACCATCATGGCATTTCAAATGCTTGAACTCGGTAATCAGAGGCGCTATCCTACCCATCACTGTCCTGCCCGGGCTCGCTGGAACCCTCAGCACCTCCCAGCCCCGCCAGCTTGGGCACATGCTTCTGTTTCTCGGGATTTATTGCCGAGAACGCACTTCTTTTCAGTATGCAGCTCTCCATCTACATGGCTGGAGCCTTTCTGGACTGATGATGGGAACCATCTTGCTTTGCCTTCAGCCCCTCTGCCCTCCTCATTCTTTTATTTTTTTGGGGAAGGTGTGCAGAAGATGCATGTACTAGATTACAAATGAAATGGCACTTTATACCCGTCTCTATCCTGCCCACCCCCTGCGTGCCGGGCGCTGTGGTGGGCCCTGACGGACACAGACTGTGGCTGTATTACAAGGCACTGCCCTTTCCTGTGAAGGTCACCCCCCTCCCAGATTCCCAGAACAACCACTGAGGAGAGACAGACTGGTCATGAGTCCGGTCCGATGCAGGGTGGTTGTATGTATGCACACGCCTGTGTGTTTTCCCTTTTTCCTCCTCCTGTCTTTAAGTGGAGCTCATTGAGTGCCCCTGATCCAGGGATTGGGACGGGGCAGTAAAGCAAAAGCAGCCCAGGTCAGGGGGTCAGTGGTACTTCCGACTTGTTAGGTGGGAATCCTGGATGGGGAGGAGGGAGGACCTCCAAGAACGAGTGAGAGAGACCTTTGCAGGGCAGGCTGAGGCGAGAAGGAATTTCTGGCCGGCACTGGGGGCTTGAGATCAGGATGGTTAAGCAAAATTAAAAAATTAAAAACATGCTATTTTCTGGCACCCCTATGTTTCTAATTAAAGAAAAGTTATTGTGGTCAAGAACGCATAACAGATTTTACCGTATTTAACCATTTTTAAGAGTGCAGTACGCTAGTGTTAGCATATGTCCAGTGTTGTGCACAGGTCTCCAGAACTTTTTCATCTTGCAAAATTGGAAACTCTTTATTCATGAACAGCCCTCTCTTCCCCCGCCCCCAGCCCTCCAGAAACCACCATCCTACTTTCTGTTTCTAAGACTGTGCTTATTTTAGATATCTCAGATGAGTGGAATCTTGCAGGATCTGTCCTTTTGTGAGTGGCTCATTTCACTTAGTACAATGTACTCAAAAGTTCACCCATCTTGGTAAAGTGACCATTTCCTTCTTTTTAAAGGCTCAATAAATAGTCCATTTTATGTACACACCATATAGTCTTCATCCTTTCATCCCATCTGGTGGTGGATACTGAGTTGCTTCTACCTCTTGGCTAGTGTGGACAATGCTATAAACATGGGGGAGCAAGTATTTCTTCAAGATGCTGTTTTCAACTCTTTTGGACAAATACCCACAAGTGGGATTGCAGGGCCATCTGGCAGTTTTATTTTTAATTTGTTGAGGCCCCTCCTAACTGTTTTCTATAGTGGCTACACCATTTTACACGCTTACCAACAGTGTACGAGGGTTTCAACTTCTCCACATCCCCACCAACATCTGTTATTTTCTGTTTGTTTTTTTTGGATATTGGCCATCCTAATGGATGTGAGGTGATATCTCACATTGTGGTTTTAATTCGCATTTCCTTAATAATAAGTGATGTTAAACATCTTTTCATATACCTGTTGGCTATTTGTACATCTTCTTTAGAGAGATGTCTATTCAAGTCCTTGGCCCATTTTTTAATTGGATTGTTTGTTTTTATCACTGAGTTGTAGTTCTTTTTGTTTTCCTTTGGTTAATCCTCACCTGAGGATACTTTTCCCATTGACTTGTAGAGAGAGTGGAAGGGAGGGAGGGAGAGGGAGAAAGAGAGAAACATTGTTGTGAGACACATAGATCAGTTGCCTCTTGTACCTGACTCAACTGGGGCCGGGGATTGAACCCGAAGCCAAGGCATGTGCCCTTGACCGGGTATCAAACGCAGGGCCCCTTGATGCCTGGGCCAGTGCTCCAACCACTGAGCAACACTGGCCAGGGCTGTAGGAGTTCTTTGTATATTTTGGATATTAACCCCTTATCAGGTATATGGTTTGCAAATATTTTCTCTCACTCTGTAGGTTACCTTTTCATTCTGTTGTTTCCTTTGTTGTACAGAAGTTTCATTTTTTAATTTTTAAAATTCTCACCCAAGCACATGATAGAGAGAAGAAAGAAGAGAGAGAAACATTGACGTATATATGCCCCAACCAGGGTTCGAACCCACAACCCAGATATGTGCCCTGACCAGGAACTGAACTGGCAACCTTCTGGTGCATAGGACTATGCTCAACCTGTTGAGCACTGTTGGAAACTACCCACTGTCTTCACTATCAGAGAAGTGTAAACAAGGAGCCAGAATGCTGGTGAACCTTGAGCCCTGGCAAGGGCCAGAGCTAAGCACCGATTGTTTAGTTGAGACAATGGTGGCTCAAGCAATTTCCTGACCAAATAGTCTCAGAGTAAATCTTTACTAATATTTACTGACCTTTAAGATAGTCTGTCTGTAAGCGGAATTGCCTGCCTGACTAAGGGCTATATGTGTATCCAAAATTGAATAAAAGGTTGGCAAGGCCTGGGCACCAGTGAAGTCCTTCCTCTAGAGTTGGACTCTCTGCCTGGCCCCCATTATTTCCAAATTATTATTTCTTGTCTCGTCTCTGTCATTTGTGCGCGGCCCTTCTCCAGATCCCGAACCACGAACCATGTGGGACGTGGCTCACACATCAACCAACTGAGCCACTCAACTGGGCTGTGCAGAAGTTTTAAAGTTTGATGTAGCCCAATTTTTCTATTTTTGTTTTTGTTGCCTTTTAAATCTTTGAGTTCTTTTGTTTATGGAGCAAGGTGAGGTCCCAATTCATTCTTTTGTCTGTGGTTATCCAGTTTTCCCAACACCATTTGTTAAGGATATTATCTTTTGTGTAGCCAGACTTGGCACCTTTGTCAGAGATGATTTGACCACGTAAGGGATGCAAACCTGAGCACTGAGAGCAGAAATCATGCTAGTTGCCATCTTTGGTTTCCCCCGATACCAGATGCAGCCGTCAAGTGTCATGCTGGAAACGCCCAGGTCCATGTTGACTTGGTAACAAGATTCTGGCCCCCATAACAGACAATAGCTCATACTGAGAGGGACCTGTAGCTGATGAGGGGCCTCCAGGCCCACTACACCTGCTGAGGCCTGCGGCTCCCTTCCTCCTGGTGGGCTATGGAGGCCCCTTTATTGGAACCTCTTTCCAAAACTCTGGGAGGAGAATTGTGGTCAAGTGATTTGAATCCTCCAGACCTTCAGCCTGAGCTCCCTGACGTTGCCTGGGCCCCAGAGCCATTGTGGAGGTGCTCTTGAATGGAAAAGTCAGGGGAGATCCCCGGATTTGAGCTTCTAAGACCAAATCATTAAAACATCTCTCCCAAATATAAATTAAAATCACAACAAGATATCACCTGTCAGAAGGGCTATCATCAATAAATCAATAAACAAGTGTTGGTGAGGCCCTAGCTGGTTTGGCTCAGTAGATAGAGCATCAGCCTGTGGACTGAAGGGTCCTGGTTTGATTCTGGTACATGCCCAGGTTGCGGGCTTGATCCCCAGTAGGGGGCTTGCAGGAGGCAGCCAATCAGTGATTCTCTCTCATCATTGACATTTTTATCTTGCCCTGTCCCTTCCTCTCTGAAATCAATAAAAAAATTATTAATAAAAAAAAAGTGTTGGTGAGGACATAGAGGAAAGGGAATCTTCATGCATTGTTGGTGAATTTGTAAATTGATGCAGCCACTATGGAAAACAGTATGGAGGTTCTTCAAAAAATTAAAAATAGAACTACCATAAGACCCAGTAATTCCACTTATCTGAAAAAACCCAAACCACTAATTTGAAAAAATATACACATCCCTATGTTCACTGTAGCATTATTTACAATAGCCAAGATATGGAAACAACCCAAATGTCAAGCGATAGATAAATGGATAAAGAAGATGTGATACATATATACAATGGAATATTACTCAGCCATAAAAAAGAATGAAATATAACCATTTGTGACAACATGGATGGATCTAGAGGGTATTATACTAAGTGAAAGAAGTCAGACAGAGGAAGACAAATATTGTTTGCTTTCACTTCGATGTGAAAGCTAAAAAACAAAATAAACAATACAGAAACAAACTCATGGATACAGAGAAAGGAACCGATGGCTGCCAGATAGGAATGTGTTGGGGGTTGAGTGAAAAAGGTGACGGGATTAAGTAGTACAAATTGGTAGTTACAAACTACCATGGGATGTAAAATACAGCATAGGGAGTACAGGCAATAGTAGTGTAATAACTATGTATAGCACCATGTGGGTAGTAGACTTATTGGGGTGATCACTTCATAAATCACCTAAATGGCTAATCACTATGTTGTAACCCTGACACTAATATATTGTATGTCAACTGTAATTAGAAAAAAAATGTTAAAAAACATTTCTGCAGATAATTTTGTTTTACAAGTATCAGACCACCCGGACTGGAGGGATCTGCCTGCTCATTTCCAGCCTGGCCTGACAAAGCCCTCTGTCCCTCAGAGGAGGGAGTCAGGTCCTGGGCACACCTCG